ACACACTCCTTACAGGCCTGGCGAATCAATGGCTAACTGGAAAAGGATTGCAGCCTCACATTTCTATCTAAATACACATTAGGAATTCACTCATAACCCAACCATCCATTCGGGTTTGACATATTGCTACAGGAAAACAGATTTAAATATTTAACATACCTGCAAAAGGACTCACTGGGAAGCTATGTTAATGTGGGGCAGAGCCTACCAGCTAGGACACCCTGAGTCCCTGGGTACAAGTGCCCCCATCTGGTCATCAGAGGCAGCCCCATTCACTCCCTTCGTGCCATATAAATGTCGTCTTTTCTGCGGTATCACTTTCTAAGTGGGGCAGGAATTAAAACAACAACATTTTTGGAAGCACTGAGAAGTTTATAAAAGAGTGCCAGTATGTATTTGGGGGATTCATCTAGTCATTTAATAGATATCCAGTGTGGAGATCTTACAACCTTGGGAAGGTAGCTGTTTTACCAGAACAGAAGTTTATACAGCTGTTGCCTCTTAGGTTATACAACTCATCTGTCTCCTTTGAAGGCTGGTGGATGATTCAAGGTCACCTTGGGTCCTTACTGGGTGCCAGGTAGCATGCTCAGTGCGGAGGTGTCTCAGAGAACCAGAGACAATGTGGCCCCAGCCCTGATGGAGCTTACTGTCAAGCAAAGTACACAGACTCAGAAGTACGTACACAGAACCATCAGCAGCATTGGGATGTGTGCTGTGAAGGCACGTAATGAGGAACCTGAACTATACTCCAGCAGATCAGATAGAGCTTCTCCGAGGAAATGATAGCGAACTTGAAGCCTGCAAGATGAGAGACCAGCTAGGAGACGGCAGGTCTGGAGGCTCTAGGCAGAGTGCAAAGGATGTCTGAGGACCATGGTGTTGAAGCATTAAGTTTAAAAACGAGCCTGGCAGAGCTGGGCAGGGGCCAGAGAACACATGACCTTGCAGGCCAGGCTTAGAATTAGGGACTTAATTTCAGGAGTAATGGAAAGTCACTCCAAGTGTCAAGCAGGGAGACAGACCCCCAAACACATTTTTTAAATGCACACTCTTAGGCTCTAGCCTGGAAGATTCTGGTGGGCTGGCCTGGGCCCCCAAATCTGAATTCTGAGAAGGTCCCCGGGAATCTGATGCAAAGTCTAGGAGCTACTGCTGTGGAACATTAGTTGTCCCAAGGCCCAGCCTGAGCAGCTGGCCTGTGAACTTGCCCTTAAAATAATGGTTATGGTATGAAAAGGATATACACATTCCTCGCATTGTTATTTTATCTGGCCGGGTTGTGTCAGCTTCCAGGTCAAAAGCAAAGCCAGCATAGTCCTCATTCTGGTGACCCTCTCGCATTTGAAATGGGTGTGTGTTTATGGGGGGGAGGGATGGCGTAGCAGCCGTGGTCAGTGCCCGGCCCATGTTCCGTGGACGGCACTCCCCTTCCAGCCACGGCGGCCAGCTCCCACGGTCTCTCCTGCTCCGCTCTCCTGAAGGGTTAACCGGGGCTCCAGCTGCTGAACCCGCTGTGCCGGGGAATTACTGTGTGCTTCCTCCCGGGCAGCCTCGCTCTGTGACTGAAGGTAACCGGTGTTTAAATGGCTCAGCTCCCTCATGCCCACGGCGGGCAAACTCTGAGATGTGTGTTTTACACCGACTCCCAGAGTGGTCGCAGCAGGACTGTGTTCCTGCTGTCTACAGTGGTAATCAGTGTGGCAACAAAGCTTTCCCTGGCGGTCCTCCCCTCCCCGGCTCGCTTCCTCACTCCCCTGCTGAGGTCTTCCTCACATCCCAAATAAACCACATGCAACTGAATCTTTGTCTCAGGGTCCACTTCTGGGGGTGCGAACGGTCTCTTGCTGTGCTAAAGTGCATTAAAAAAAAAAAAACAGTAGAGTCTGGCTACCAAATTTAGTAAATTATTACAAAGGACGCAAAGAAAATGCGTTAAATCCTGAATGAAAAATTCCATCCATGTATGAAATGAATATGGGAAAAGAAGAGAGAACATAATCTGGTATTGTGAGAATTGTCCTGAATGCTGTATTCAAAGTTTAACTCAGGAATATCAAAAAAATGGGCCACTCTTTCTTTTGTTCCGCCAGAAGAAAAGAATGCTGTGCAACAAATAAGTAACCTATTCCTCCTGCCCCATTAATATAAACTAATACTTACTGAGGGCTTATTATTAGTCACTGCCCTCACAGCTTTGCACAGCTCACATTCTTAAGTCCAGGTTAAACAAATCAACAATCCAAAAATTTTATATTTACTTACAAAATGAAAAAAAATATTAAATATATTCACACAGATTTACTCACAGCAGAGAAGCCAGCCAACTTCTACCCCGTTAATTCTACCTTAAATCAACCATCCTCAAGCCGTAAGATACACTTTTTCCTTAACAACCCTTCTTTTATTTGTTAGCATTTACTACGTTGCCACCTCATGATCATTTATATCTAAAATACCCAGTGCCACTGCAATTGCTGTGAGAACCAGTGACTGCCTGCAGAAAAAAGTAATCTGAAGTCAATTTTCAAAAATGTTAAAGAAGAAATTAAAATTTTTAAAGAGTAAATCAATCTGTGTTATTTTGAAACATATTGCCTTTTCAAGTACGCCTAACGAAGCATTTAGGTTGGAACATCAAAATGTCTGCAACCATCTCTTAAAAATTCTTCTGCATAAAAAATACAGTGAGAAAAAAATGTTCACCTTAAAAATTGAGGGGTCATTTCGATCATCTCCCTCATGTTTCCTTTGCATGTGACTAATCAAATCTTTCAGGTTATTTTTAGTTATGAAAAAAAATAAAAACAGTAAATCTGAAAGATGAAGACAAGAAGAAATCTAAACAAAGTCTCTAAAACCATGAACAATGGAACACTCATTTACCAAATGGAAGCAGATCACTTGAAGAAATTTCACCTTAATACAAAGAAGTGTAAGTATTCACTCACACAAAGTAATAACAGGTCAGAATTCACTGACTCAAAAGACAGTGTGAGCTAAAAATCTATGACACAGGAAAAACTATTTAAATATGAAACATGTGTGATAGGCTATACAGAAAACTAAAAACGTCTGAGGTTGTTCCCTAAATCCGGGTGATTACATGAAGAACCATGACCACAACTCAGAGAAGACAGGTCACTGAAATGGTCAAATCCACTACAGTTTTTTTTACATAAATTTTGAGTTAAAGAAGACCCTAGGAAATCATCCCAAGGAGATTCTGCTGAGAGGAAACTCTGGCCCTAGGAATCTGGCCTGGAGCCCAGCCAGTGAGTGAAAAGCCTGTGTGAGATTAGACCTGCCCGCTCATCGGAGTATTCTGTTTATATTTTAAACAGTATCTTGGCTTCTGAAATCTAAACGCTAGGTAGTCTTACCACCTTGTGAGTCAGAGTCAATGAACTCTGTATCTGTAATTATTACTATATGAATTAGTACTTTGTCTTAAAGTAAATTTCCTCACATGGTATGACCTCATTTTGGAGTGCTGGGTTGGGTAAAATAAGTTTGTTACATTAGTCATAGTTTTAAGGGTAAAAAAAAAGTCATCCTCTTGTGGTTAATAATTAAAGAAGTTACAGCTCACCCCATCCATAGGATAAAATTACTTTTCTATAAGGATACGGAGACGTGAAATGCCATTACTCCAATAGCATTGCTATGAATTTAGGATCAGATTTATTAATCCAAATGTCTACCTGGCTCATCCATAAGAATGGAAGTTATAAAATATTTAAATAGAAAACTATGTTGCCTTAGGTTTTAAAATACTCATAAAAGGGGTGCCTGGGTGGCTCAGTCTGTTGAGCATTCAACGCTTGATTTTGGCTTGGGTCATGACCTCAGGGTTATGGGATCCCCCTGAGGTGGGCTCTGCACTCAGTGGGAAGTCTGCTGGGGACTCTCTCTCCCTCTGCCCCTCCCCCTGCTCACACACATGAGCGTGCTCTCTTTTCTCTCTCTCAAATGAATAAATAAATCTTAAATAAATAAATAAAATATTCCATAAAAGAAACTCCCAAAACCTAAGCACTAAGGAATATCTTTCCACTAATCTGCTCTCTTTTTTAGTAGTATCCTCAGTTAATGTAATGGCACAGACCTATTATTTAAAGATCAAACAAAATCTAGTTCTTTACTTAATAATCCACTGAGCTTAACATTCCAACTCACTCTACAAGTGAAATCAAAACTAAATGACTGAGCTTATATAGTTGACCCTTGAACAACATGGGTTTGAACTAAGCAGGTCCACTTATGCATAGATTTTTTAAAAATAAATATATATATACTACTGTAAGTGTATTTTCTCTTCTTTATGATTTTAATAACATTTTCTTTTCTCTAGCTTACTTCATTGTAAGAATACCATATGTAGTATCTATAACATACAAAATATGTGTTAATCAACTGTTTACGTTATTGGCAAGGCTTTCAGTAACTATTAGGCCATTAGTAGTTAAGTTTTTGGGGACTTAAAAGTTGTACTTAGATTTTCATTGTGTGGTCAGTGCCCCTAACCCCTATGTCATTCAAGGGTCAAATGCAGTACAATTAACATTTTAATAATTAAAAGAAATAACACATATGCAAGTGCTTGGCATGAGCATGAAAAAGAAATAATGTACATTTCTTCACAAAAATCTGACATCTTTCTCATAAAGGATGGCTCTATATAGACATTGATCAGTTCATTTGGAAATATGAACTGGCATGAAGTAAAATGACTGGAATTTCTAAACTTCTAACACCAAAAAATTTCAACTAAAAGATGAACAAATAAGAAGAAAGCCTGTCTCATTTAGATACACTTTTATAAACTCTCTGCCTAATTTTTTAAAGTCCACTACTGATCTCCATCATCATTTTACATTAAATCAAATGCATTTTCAATAATGTCCAAGAAAAGATAACACAGAACATAAAACATCTGAGATAGAAAACCTCTTTCAACCAGAGTACTTCTAAACAACACTAATATTATCACTTAATACCTGATTTCAGGAGATGAAGAGATTTCATTTGTGTCTGCCCTTTTATTTCTTGGAAATGATGGACTAGCCGGAGGCATCTCACCACTTAAACGGTCTGGGAAAATTCGGTCTTTATTCAAATTGATTTCTGAATAGGGACAGTTGGCAGCACTAAAATATTAAAGAAAAAAGAAAAGAACATTCCCATTAGAACATACCTCTAATTAAAATGACAGGCTATAGAAAATCCCAAAATTTAATTGAATGTTATATATATTTACATATGTGTATATGTATGATTAAACACATAAATATGAAATATTTTATCTCTAAGACATAATTTAAGTATATCTGATAGAAAATGTGTCTTTGCACTAGATAGATGTTTAGATGCAATCTGATGAAATCTTTGGAACTGAGCAATGATCAATGAAGGATCCCCTCTGTATTGTCCAGGGCAGAGCCTATGCATATCTATAGGAACAATCAGCCCCGAGAGAGAAATGCTTAAGACATCATTGGAGGCTTGGTGATGGACAGATGGCACAGATCTGCTTCCTAAAGTGATCCTCCAGACTCAGGGTCTGCACTGGCCATATCATTTCCTTTATAACAGCTGTCCCTCCAAAGGAAGGGGGTTCCCCCATGTTCCTAGCTCCAGGTCCAGCTGTACATCTGATATCCTAGGCAATACATATATCAATCTGTAGTTAATCCTGTTTCTGATATGAAAGGAGCCCAGATGCCAACTTGGATCATAACCCATCCAGCTCATTTCCCTTCTATCGGTGCCCTCTGGACCCCTGGCTGGTCTCTCAGGTTCCATATGGGGATCATTGCTGTTATCCAAGTAAAGGAAATCTAGGTCACTAATTGTTAAATCAATGTTAAGTCAGTATAATCCTCTGCCTAGGCCTCAGCTTTCCAGGCTCCAGAACAACTGGGCAACCTCTGTATCTCAGGCCTCCAATACCTAACGAACCCTCCCAACTACCTGCCCATCTTGCCCCTCTGGTCTTAGGAAGCCTCCTTAAATCTGGAAATTGTTGGCTCTTAGATAAATTATTTTAGTGTCTTGGGCGCCTGGGTGGCTCAGTCGGTTAAGCTGACTTCAGCTCAGGTCATGATCCTGGGGTCCTGGGATCGAGTCCCGTATCAGGCTCCTTGCTCAGCTGGGAGCCTGCTTCTTCCTTTGCCTGCCGCTCCCCCTGCTTGTGCTCTCTCTCTGTCTTTCTCTCTGACAAATAAATAAATAAAATCTTTAAAAAAATTATATTAGTGTCTTACATGTCTTTTCCTCTCTCTAGGTGATAGTGGGAATGTTGATAATCACCCAGGGAAAATTTTTAAACAATGCATGTCTATTCTCCACCAAAAAAAAATCAGATACCTTCTCCTAGGAGGAGGAGGGAAGAGTTTGAAAACTAAGTGATTCTGATAATGGCCTATAAAACTTATCACAGATACGTTACAAGCTAAAACACAATCTTTATTTTATTTAACTACATGCTACTCTACATTATTATCTATGCAAAAGATAAACGTAAATAACATTTGATCATGTGTTGACATAAATGTATATAATACTAACCCAACAATAACAAAAACAATAACCAGTAATATTTATGGAGCACTCACTATATATCAAGCACTTTGCTAAGCACAGTATTTTACTTAATCTTTACAATATCCTATGAGGAAGGCTTTTCATGAGACAAACTAGGCTTAAAATGCTTAGGTGACTTCAATCTTTAATTATTTCATTCATTTGTTCAACAAGTATTTATCGAGTATCTATTAAGTCCTAATTATCTTTCTAGGCACTGGAAACAATGGAAAATAAAAAGGCAAGATCTCTGCTCTCATGGGGCTGATATTCTGGGGGAAGATGGGCATGCACAATTGCACAAACATAAATTAGAGAGCCTCACATAGTGACACATGCCATGGGGTATGGCCTAAAGGAGAACACGGGGCTGTCCCAGGTGGTGAGGAAGGGCCTCCCTGAAGTGGCAGCATCTGATCAGTGCCCTCAAGGTCAGGAAGAAGCCTGCTCTGTCCACACAGGGCAAGAGCATTCTGGGAAATGGGAAGAAGAGCACAAATGTAGGGAAAGCTCGGCATGTGTGGTGGGGGAAGACCATCGACGGCCGAGTGTGTGAGCAAGGGGAGGGTACACACTAGAGGCCGGCAGGGGAAGTATTATGTGGTGTCTGGTAGGCCATGGTCATGGGTCATGAGCTCAGTTGGTTAGTTTACATCTGATGTGAAGCCACTGGAGGACCTTCAAATAAGGGAATGGTATGGTTTGATGTACAATTTAAAACAATCACCCAGGGTGCTTTGTGGGGGGAAGATCTCAAAGGGACAGAATTGGAGCAAAAGAAGTTATGTAATTGTAAAGACATCATGGTGACTTGGATTTGGGTGGCTGAACGGTCATGGTACCTCTGCGATCCCTCCAAAGGAACCTGTGCATGGATGGGTGATGGGGAATGACATTAAAGAAGGATTTAAGAATGGTCTGTAGGTTTCTGGCTTGAAGACCTGGGTGGTCATAGGGATGCCTTTTCTTTTCTTTCTTTTTTTTTCCCCCCTGAGATGAGAATGATGAGAGAGAAGCAGATCTGGGGACAACATCAGGAATTGTGGACTGTTTATTGAACAATGAAGTAGAGATGTTGCTTGCCCAATGTCACACAGCAACAAAGTAACTCAGTAAGACGAGCGCACTGTTTCATTTATCTTACTGTGAATGGGCATACTATTTTAACTCATTTTTATTCATTCAGCAATGATGTGAAGGGAGAGTTCATCACCAACCACAATGTCTCTTCTGAACAAGAATCCTTCAAGTACCTCATGGAATCCTTTATGGGATATTTGTACTAATTAGTGTTTATGGATATAAGTAACAAAAACCAATTCTAAGTTGAGCAGAAATAAACTTACTAAAGGGCATCAGACAAGTCAGTAGGAAGGCTGAGTAGTCAGGCTTGGTCAGGAAGAAAGGTCCAACCAGCTCTCCTCCCCAGACACAGTCTACACAGGATGGGGGGCTCCTGGGGCTGTGGCCCTTACTCGCTCCCCAAACCCCTCAGCTATGTCCACACCTGCCCAACCCCCAATTCCACAGAGACTGCAAACACCAAGTGTGACCTGCCTTCACATCACTTCTCCTGATGGAAGACCCAGGTGGTAGCATCTGCTTGGCTACATTTCGGTTTTCTGCCCACACAGTAAGTGCCACAGGCCTGAGGAAGGGGGAGAGGCCCTGCTCCCTGTGGTTCCCCTGAGGGACGTGGAGCCCTGCCTTACACCTATCTTGTTTCAGACAAAATATAAATGACCCAGGGCTGCCTCATAATAAACATGTTTAAAACCAAATTCATCATCTTCAATGAACTCCCCTCTTCTGAAGAAAAAAGATAAGAAATACAACCTGCTCCTCCTGCTATTTTTGAATCTTTGTTTCTGACAAAGGAAATATATTAACTAAGCCTCAGATTGTCATCTTTAACTCTGTCATCCTTTCTTCCTCATATTGTGTATTTCTATGACAAATTTACCTCCTTGCATTTTGTGACAGCAAGAAAAAAAAAATCTAAATATAATTCTTTGGTTTTTTTGACAAACAGTATGCTAATCCTATAAATACTGCAACCATCATGTTTCACTCACAGTTAAACACCTGGCTTTACAATTACTGAAGATCTATCTATATATCTACCCTAGGGTTTTATCAGATATGAAGCAAAGAAAATGAGAGTCCTGTTCTTAACCCCACCCACTCCCACACTGGGAAGACCCACAGTATTCTTAAGATGGGCTGCATATCCCCAACTACACAGAGAGTGAACAGTTACAGTTTAGAAGTCTTAGAATATAAGATCTATGAGAACAGTCCCTTCACCTATTTGTTGACTAAGTAAAGGAAGAATAGATCTCTCTAAGATCACTACATACAAAGTTGTACAGCTCACGGAAAGGCAAGACTGCAAAACAAAATAAGACCTACTGTCTAACTATCTGCCTTTTTGGATTGTTAGGGCCAGAGAGGAATTTCAAACTCTCAACTTCAAGCAGGGGAAGCGAGCACAGCCCTCCCAGCATGGATTTACTAATGGGCCAGGCTGATCTATCAAGGGAGTCCCGTCATGAGCAGCTATCAATTTTATGCTGACACCCTCTCGTCCTTTGAATCCTGAGAGAAGTAAAATGGGTTTACATACCTCACATTTTTACACCTGCTATGGGGTAGAGAAGGAAGCCAGCTGGTTCCTGAAGTGGGTAGTGATTTAAAAAAAAAAGGTATGCCACAAAATGCAAATAAAGTGTGCTCAAGTGATGGGCAATCCCTTAGACAGAAGTCAGGAACCTGGTTCTAAGGTGCTCTGCCACCCTATCCACCACTTACTGAAGAGTATGCACAACTTGTGAGACCGTGTCTTCTCACTTGTAAAATGAGGATGAGAGCAATACTAGAGTTTCCACAGCTCAACTGCATTACACATGCTAAGTGCTGTCCTTGCATTATCTCGTTTAACTCCCACAACCCTGGGAAGTTGTTCCTTGTCTAACACTTGTTTTACAGACATAGAAATTGAGGCTTTAAAAAGGGAACTTGCTCAGTGTCACTTTATCAGTTCTTGGCAGAGTCTGATGATGAACTCTGGCTGTCCCCTGTTACACTGTATGGGGGCAAACAGTACCTTGCAATATCAAAGAATGCCCTTAGCCGTAATCTCTGACAATGAAATCCCTCTGAGTACCGTCTTCGAGCAAGATACTGCCGTCATAGAGCTAATATGCATTGAGCCATTACTTAACCTCTTTGCCAGTTTCCTTGTTCTTAAATTTACAAGGTTCATACAGTTTTAAAAGTTACTAACTTTATAACTCACCAGTGCTGATCAAACTTCTGTAGAGAAAGTGGGTTCTCATTAGGCTTATAATCTCTAGTTTCTCATGTACTAAGCTGTGTGTATCATGTATAAATGGGCATACACATGTATCCACATACATGTAACTCTTTACCATGACATAGTTCCTCAGAGAGCACAGGAAGGAATTCATGTAGGGTTACACAGCTATCTACATAAGGATTTTATTAGGGTACACCCTGTTCTACCGGCAAATAATTCCGTATCAGCTTTGCACACAAATATCCCACCGACCCCTCTAAGGAGGCAGTTTTTCCTAGAAAAGATTGGTCCGGCTTATGAGGAAAGGGGAACAGACTGTCTTGTTCATTTCTCCCCACTGCCACCTTTAAAATCCTTGTAACTGTGAATACGTTTATTTAAACAATTAGGTAATATCTTCAGTTTTCCGAGTGATCGCATAATCGTTCTCACACTCCGTCATGACAAAAACCTGAGGCGGCTCTATCAGGCCACTTGCTTTACATGAGAGTCTAGGAGTTACAAATGGAGACTGAAGTGCCATCCAAGCCTGGGATGAATTCTGGTTCTGCCACTGTCTGATCCTTGGGCACGTACTTAACTATTCCAACCCCGTGTCCTCACCTGTAAAACAGAGATTAGAACAGCACCTGCGTCACAGAGCTGCTGTGAGGATTAGGTGAGATCACAGATTAAGTCCTACAACAGTGCCTGGAACATAGGAAGTCATCAATAAATCCCACCTGTTGTCATTATTCAAAAAGGAGAAGCAGACTAACACATAACCGCTATTCTGTAAAAGAGCATCCGCAAAGATAAACAACAGCATTAAAAACTCAGTAACATGCCTCATTGGTGGAGACTCTCTGCTTGCCTCAGGGAAAGGGTGCTACCCCATTCATGCCTCTACGAAAAACTGTTTGCACCAGACTGGCCTCCTTAGAGGGAGGGACCCTCTCGTCTGTGCGGCCCATCACCTAACCCTGGACCTGGCCCAAAGCAGGCACTCAGTAAATGTATGTTGGAATGCAGGGATGGATGGGTGTTGAATCAATAGGATGTTTATAGTTTGCAGGTGTCTGTTCAAATTTTTAAAACTTTCCATGGACTTTACAATGACCTTTTAGAGGTTGTTGGAAATACTCCCCATTTTTTTCTTGTTTATTTTCTCCATAATCAAATCTTGGATAGAAAAGATTCACTTCTGAAGGCACTAGAGATGCAGAATATCTACTTTCATATAACTTTAGTTCTCCTTTAATCTCCTCCCCTTCTTTGACCTTGCAGTAGCCGAAACAAATGAATCGACAAAGGGAAACACCACGATACCACCCAGATTAATGCTCCCTTGCTAGAAAGAGAGCATTGAGCCATCTGGCTACTGAATATCCCTAGAGATAAGAATAACATCCACACTCAACTCACTCACTGATTATTTACATTTCAACATCTGAAAACATCACATTCTCAAATTTCATCGCTGAGACACATGTTCTATTTCTAACACCTCTTACATCAAATTCAACTATTATAATTTTTCAGAGACGCTAACAACAACTGCTAGTCAAAACACAGCCTTTTGCTTATGTGTTCATAAAACTGATTATTCTTGCTAAAAGAGCAACTTTCCTTGTTATCTAGGCAAAGAATGCATGTTTTGATTTATGCAGTTTCTCCGCAAATTAATCCAAAGAGAATTTTCTCATTATGTTTTCCTAAACACAGCATTCTCGGCAAGGACAAAAGTAAACGCCATTGAAATGACCCTTTTAGAGAATATCCATGATGCTGCAGCTATTCCACAGTCTACTAATGAAATGGAAAACAGGCTGTGCCTGTTAAGGATTAATACCCTGCCAGACCCAGAGCTCTGAGTGTTGTAAATAGGACAGTCAGGGAGACTCTGGAAAGCCAGCTGAAAGGGCTCAGAAGAAGGGACGAGTGCAGCAGCTGACGGTAGCTGCCAACTGTCTGAGCCACACGCACCCTCCTCCTCCCCGAGGCTCGGCCAACCACTAACTCTGCCCCAGACTCACGCACGGAACTGCCAGTTATGCCTTCCATCCGACAGAGCAACAAACTTCCTTATCAATACATGTCTTCCAGCCAGAAGGTCTACTGCTTCCTCTCTCCTTCCAAAAAGATGAGTAATTCTCTACTGGTTCCAATTATACTGAAAGATTTCTTTACCACATTTCTCCGTAAAATCTTCCACGACTCTCTCCACAATTTCCCCCTTCTTTTAGCAAATACAACGCTGCATCTCTGAAGAAATGCTCCAAAGATGATCACTGAAATTTTGTGAAATGGGTGTGGCTCAGCTGAGGAACCCTCAGAGGTCCCTGGCACAGTGGGGAAAAGGTAGTCATAATGAGCGGCAAGCGCCATCAGGCAGGGGACAGGACTGTCACCAAAGACCTCGCCATGACAGGCAAACCTCTATGCTCAGACCAGAAGCACTCCTAAAGAGACGATGGACATTGCTTTAAGGTGGGTTTCCTTTCCAGAAGGCCAAAACAAAAATTTCAACTGCACCCCAACAACATACCAATATTTATGTGTTTGTTTTTTTTTTTAAAAAAGCTTCTTTATTCTTTTCCTTCATAATTGGAACAAACTGCCTCAGTCCAATGAACATCTTGGGGTTGATACACGTGTCAAAGGTTCAATATTACTGTTTTGTATCTTGTATTTTAATTATGTACAGCTTTATATTTCCATTAGTCCCTGAGTTCTCTGAAGGTTGGGTCTGTGACTAATTCTTGGAGCGGGGCCTTGAGAGGCAGTGAGAGGGGAGAGGTCAAGAGCACAGACCCTTGAGCAAGACTGGGGGCCAATCCCTGTCCCTCCCTCACCAGCAGTCAGTCAGTAAAACCTCTCCAGTGCCACAGTGGCCTCACTGAAAATTGGGAGAAAATAATACTAAAACTAATAAGGTAGTTCAGAAGGTTATCCATAAACGTAAAACAGAGCAATACCTTGTGCAGAGTGAATACATACTCAATAAACGTTAGTTATTATTGAAAAAAAAACTCCTCAAAAATATTCAGTGAATGAAATAATTTATTAATACACAATGGAAATTTAGCATGCTAATGAATTATTTCTGGCACTTAGACTTACATAACGCCTGAAAAATAATCTAGCTGCCTTCACTCAGCAACACTGAACAACTTTTAAGGTGTAGTATTTTAATTCAGTTTAAATTAATCACGTAACTTTGGGTTGGCACTTACACAAACAATGAAAAGGACTTTTCTTTTTTTTCTTTTTTCTTTTATTATTACTATTTTTTAAGCAGGCTCCATGCCCAATGTGGGGCTTGAACTCACAACCCTGAGATCGAGAGTCGCATGCTCTCCCGACTGAGAGGGCCAGGCACTCCTGAAAAGGATTTTTAAATGGGTATTTGCAAATGGAATCACCACCCTATGTTTAGACTATTTACTCTGGAACAGACTGAAACCCATAAAAATCTCAGGAGGAGTGTTGCAAAAGGAAGATAAGCAGTATCTGTGGTTGCAGAGATGAAAGAAATAAAGAGAGAGGGAGAGGAAGGAAGGAAGGAAAGAAGGAAGGAAGGAAGGAGGAAGAAGCATTAATTACACCAATTTTACAGTTCCTATTAACTCTTAGAGGAAAAGGTAGTGCAATCTTCAGATTTTTCAAAAGACCCAGATTCACAGTGTGTACAGACTAGATAAACAAGGGATCATTTTCCTTACTGGGTAACCCAATTAACATGTAGTTAGAACACTTACATTGACAAATGATTATTTTAATTCATCCCTAAACAGGTGATGCTTTTGTTCCTCGAAAATCTCAGTCAAATCATAGGAATTTCTAGGTATTTTGGTAATATTTTTAAATGTCTCCAAAGAGCCCCAAATTGCCTAAACAATACATCAAATTTCAAATGTATAATTTTGGTTTCTTTTTTAAGTTACTTAGGGGTAAATGAAAAATACTGAAAAACCCTGTTTTGGATCAATGCACTCTCAAGTGTGACTATTTATATTTGTGCTTCTTGTGATCTTTGCTGGTATAATCTATGATAATCTCACTTCTCATTATTCAAAATTGTTGAGTCCCCCAATCATAGCGTATTCTACCAAACAAAGACCTTCAACAGGGTCTGCCTTCTTCTCATTATTAACGGTCAACCCAAAGTGACTCTTTCAGAAGGTGAGTATCTGTACACCTGATCAGGCTGTCAAGAAAAGGCAAATAGCTAGAGTAAATCCATTTTAGACTGTGAATGCATTTTTCTCCCAGGAAGACTTAACTACAGATATACTCTTCGTTTTTATAGGATCACCATGGAAACCACATTTCGTATAGATCAAAATATAAAATTAGCTCACATCTATTAGTACACATGGAAATCATTATCTTACACATACATGGGATGGGCACCCTGTCTTTGACCACATAAGGAATTCCTGTGTGAGTGGCAGCACCACATACCTGTGAGGGCCCAGGTGTCTCACTCTCTTAAAATGGCCAATCCCTTTACATCCTGGGGTTGAGCATCCGCCATGTTCTGAAGCTTCCATTAATTCTAAGGGGCCTATAAGAAAGCAAGGGGAAAAAAATGAGAGAAAGAAAGAAGGGGCATAAAGTTAACCAGAAGGCTGTAAAATAAAAATTTAAAATCTTAAAAGTCTTTATTTTTAAAGGTTTTTCCCTATGCTTTTGTTCACACTATTTATCTTTCTTCAATAGTGAAACGGTAGACTTTGATCTAACCCTCTTTCAATGTCCAATTCCAGAAACATCTAAATGTGAATTAATGAGGAGATTCTTCCAATTTTCATGAAGTACATAACATAATTAGTATGTGAATACTGGTATACTGTGAAAATTTCAGACACCACACCAGAATACAGAGAAACAGTTACAGATCCCATTCATACTACCCCCTCCACATTTCATACACTCCCTCATCCTGACCACTTACATTAATGTGTAATGTGCTAGATGTTGTTCTAAGCATTCCCATGTGTGTATATATACACATATCAAGTTTTTGGTTTCGTTTCATTTTGTCCTATACAAGGGATAGCACAGATGTGCACTATTCTGAAACATTTTTTTCCTTTGGTCTTTAACTTCAGTTCCATCTCAGTGGTAATATTCTTTAATGGCTGTGGCACAGCGTCTGTATTATGAATGCACCAGAATTTAACCAATCTCTGTTTCTAAGGTTTGTTATTTTAAATATACTGTAAGAAACGGCATGCATGTGAATTTTTGTACCTTTATGCAGCCTGTATGTAGCATCCAGAAATGAAGCCACTAGATGGGGGACTGCACGCTAAACTTTTTAAAACCCCTCAGTAATCTATTGTATTTCTTATATTTTGTTTGCTACAATATATATGTTTTCTTTCAAAGTTGAAATTACAGTATGTCAAGTTCTCAGTGCTTACTTTTTTAAAAATTGAATTTAAAGGAAATTTTTACTGAGGTTATTGTAAATCATATGCAGTTTTAAGTAATAATTCATAGGGAGAGCCCTTGCACACTTTGCCCAGTTTCTTGAAATGGTAACATTTTGCAAAACTATAGTATAAAATCACTCCTGATACATTAAATTTTGACAGACTAAGTCTGACAAACTATCTTCCAAAAATTCAGTATCAATTTTAAAAGATGAGGAGTACTTCTAAATAAAAGTAAAAAAATCTATATAAACTTTGCTTTTTCAAACATTACATTTTTTCTTTTATATTTTTGTGACTACCATGTGACTGAAAATGTAGGAAGAGGAAAAGGATTATATAGAGAAGAAATACACAGTGAGAAAGAAGTAGAAAGAAAAGGATAGGAGAAAAGAACACTTTAAGGACCCTACACAAGAACATGGAAACATTTATTTAAGTTATCCTTGTGTCTCTTACTCAAAGGAGGCTGAAGAGGATGCCCGGTTTTTGAACACCAGCCCACAGGGTGAATATCAGGACAATCTGCATCTACCCAGTAATCATAGCAACTATTCCAGCCATCAAAGTGAACCTGGGTAACAAAGAGAAATTAACAGTACAATTCAGGTCACAAAAAATCCTACAATAGAAGTTCTACCCACCATAGCCATTTTCATTCTCTTCTAAATTATACAGTAGGTTTAATACCAAATATATTTTTTCAATTATTTAAATTATTTCATTTACACTATGAGGAAAACAGGCACTTTTGACCTATCTTTAAATTATCTGTCCATCAAGAAATGTCTTGCCAAAGGCATTTTTCCAGCAGTACTTCTACAGAGATACTATTATGTATATCTTCCAACACTAGAACAACTTGAATACATAACATCTTCATATAAGCAACACCAAACACCCAGTAAGTATTACTTAAGTAATGAATAAATCAGGGCAGGGAGTGAGGATGGGAGGGGGGGAATGGAGAGCCAGAAGGGTCTTCCATATAAAAGTCAACTCTCCCAGAGTTATGCTAATAAGGCTTTTTAAACAAATTCAACATCCTATTAGAAATACACCCAGTTTACAAAATATCTCTCCATCCAACGCATTTCTAAATATCATTTTTTCCTCATAAATAATTACAATATCTCTCAAAGAGGTTTTAAAGAGTGGTCAGTGCCATTGTTATTGGCCACCACGTGAAAGAGCAATTGGTCCCCCAGGCAGGGTCACTAAGGATCAGCTAGGTAGCTTTTAAGTATTACATATATTTTATCTTCTAGGGTGAAAGGATTTACCAAAAGGCTATATGTATTTTACTTTTACATCAAGTCTGCCAGCTAGATTTCCTTAAGTCTGTGAATCCCTTACTCCTAACAAGACAACAGATGCCAGATGGGTAAAAAATGCAAACATTAAAAGCTGAACAATAAAAGTTCTAGAACAATGTACGAGTGAATGTATTTATAATCTTAGAGTAGGATAACCTTTGTAAGTAAGACACCAAACTCAAAAGCCGTAAAAAAAAAAAAAAGATTGTTCAGTTTGACTACATGAGCATTTAAAACTTGAGAGTGGCAAATATTCTGTAATGAGTGGCAAATACCACAAAAAAGATGGAAGACCCATGAGAAACCTGAAAAACACATTTATGACATATGTAACAATGTACTCTGTTCCTTAATTTATACAGATATCAGACATCAACATAATAAGATTAAAAGCCCAATAGAAAGATGAAAAATATAAATTGCTCATAAATAAAACTAACTATAAATAGTTGGTAAACATAAAAAGATTATCAATTTCACTTATAACCAAAAAACTACAAATTAAAACCACAAGATGCAATTCTTTCAACGTGTCAAAAATGTTTCATTTTGGTGATTCTTAGAGCTGGTGAGTATGAGAATAAAAAGCTTTCTCATGGACTACTGACAGGAGTATTAATTAGCAAATACTTCTGGAGTGTTATCTGCAGTAACAGTCACTTAAAATATATCATCTTTGACTTGATAATCTCAATAACTCAACTCATTGTTTATAGTAGAAAACAACCTTGGTATCCACCGTTAGGAGACTGGCTAACTAAATTATGGTACATCTATCTGTATGACAGAATAGTACAGAGTTGTTAAAGTACATGTATACGAGTTCAAAACAATGAATCCACTTTCCCAAGCTGAGAAATCAATTAATCCTAGAATCAAAGCCCACAGAATTCCACACCTGGAAGAAATCATAGGTATTATCTTAAAGAAGAGAAGAGATCACACAGCTAGTCAGGAGGAGTAACCAAGCCTAAAATTCAAGGATCCAAATAAAATTATTCATTTCATTCATATACACTGAATATAAAAGTAACAGAGAAAATTACTTAAAGTAACCCTTTCCTTTCCTCTCATCAAAAACAATGCTCAACTAACAGTGAGATGACATTCATGATACTTTCCTAAAAATATCAATTTATGCTATCAATGCTACCAAAAAATGAGCAGACATAACTTAGTGTTACAGAAAGTTTAAAGTGTCTTAATTCTCAACTAATCAAGTGATTACTCTATTTTACTAGAAACATGAAAATTTCCTGGATTCTGATCTTGCTATTCCTAAATCCCATTTCTTTTACACTGGAATCAATGTTCACACATGATTCATGTCTGATTTGTTGTAGATAAACCACTACCTTTTAAAAAATTCAGGTATCTTTCTAGAGCAAACATACTCAATCCTAACAAATAAATGGTTCTCCACCCTGGATACACACCAGAATTTTCTCTGTGATGAAAAGGAGAAAGAAATAAAAGGGGGGAAAAAAAAGGCTGAGCCTTCCTAGGAGATTGTTAATCCATAGGTTTGGTTTTGTGCATACATATGTTGTTTACTCAACTTCTAAGTAACTGTGGTGTGCTCTCAGAATTGAGACCCATGGACATTAACTGGTACATTATTGTACATCAATATAGTCTCTGAAAATCTTGCTATCATCATAAATAAAAGAGTTCTTTTTAAAGTTTCCTTACATATGCCTTTAAGAATGTTTATGGTAGATCTAGCATATATGGTGACCACAATGTTTCATAGTTTTCCGTGAAACTGAAATCTTGGTTTGGCAATGAGAAGTTATCTATCTAAGATTTATGTACTTTAGATACCATAGATAAATCTAATACCTCCTATAAACTAGGTTGGTGGACAATCTGGAGAATTTCGGTAGTTTAAGGGTTCAATTTCGGAGATAAAATTTAGTTTAAATATTATGAACAGAGGTAACAATAAAATTCTCTCTGATAAGTACCAACTACACTTAAAAATGCTATCTGAAATTATATAAAAATCAATATATGCAAAAATTAATACTAACCCTACCAGATGAAATAGTTTTATTAAAGTTTGTATAGTTTTACTTCATCTTTTGTACTTCTACTACTTCAGTCGCTGACATATTGAGAGGTTTTAAACAAACAAAAAACCAGACACTTTAATAATGTTAAGTTTTACTCTTGCTGGGGACTATTCTGAAAAGAAATCAAATGTCTAACAAAGAACAAGAAAGGAAGATACATAAACATACAAAATGAAATATTTAAAAATTTTACAAACCCAAGAGACATACCAAATATTTATAATACAAATGTTCCACTATAAATACAAGTATATATGAAAGCAACCCAGCAATAATGCTGAATTTAATAAAAAATCTGAAGAAAATGAGATGAGGGGTGCCTGGGAAGCTCAGTCAGTTAAGTGTCCGACTCTAGATTTTGGCTCAGGTCATGATCTCAAGGTTGTGAGATCGAGCCCCAAGTTGGGCTCTACGCTGGGCATGGAGCCTGCTTAAGATTCTCTCTCTCCCTTTCCCTCTTCCCCCCATCCCTGCTCTCTTTCTCTCTCTCTCAAAAAAAAAAAAAAAAAGGAAGGAAGGAAGGAAGAAAGAAAGGAAGGAAGAAAATAAGACGATTATGGATCAAAGTATAGTGAGGAAGACTTAACTCACACATATTTAAAATTACAGTTTAGGAAACTGGATACATTTTTATCTTGAAGCATTTTTTGGAAACTTCATAAAACCTTAATACCTGTTATTGACAACTTATCAAGAATAAGACAGATAATATTTTAGAAAGCACACTATTTCTTAAAAAGAGAAAGGTTTGGTCAGATTTTCTTTTCTCGTGAAAGGCAACTCAGTAAAGCACATTATAGACCCAAGTGCTTATCTTCACCCTCTTCTGAAATTAAAGTTATATCTGCAAAGGTATAAAGCCAGGAGGACAAATGGAGAAGAGAAGTGGCTGACAGGTGAGAAGTGATAGCAATGTGTGCGGAAGGCAAATGCAGGAGGAGTGCTGACCTACAGGATAGAGTGGGTGGGCTGCAGCCCAGGTGCCTGAGAAGAACAGGACCAGAGCAAATGGATGTACTGGGCAAAACCCAAGAAGGACTCAATCTGGTGGCAGCAGGTAAGAGAACTCCCTTAGTCTGCTCCCCACTCCACCACTCCACCCACCAAGGTAACTGCCCCTTCAACAACCCTGCCAGAGAGTAGAGGTTTACCTTGTAGAGAAATAAAATCACTAAGGCTCTGAATTCTGGAACAAACCTGCCATGGCAATGGGTGGGACAGAAAATACAGGAACTAAGCAAGAGCCGCATATTCCAACCCAGTCCCCTCTGTCTCATACAGCGGCTGCCAGGGAAGAGACTGGCGGAAACGGAAAGCCTCCAGAGAAGGACTCAGATGCCAAAAATGGGTATCTCCCTATGAAAAAGCTGGCTCTTCGCTTTCTTATCAAATGGTGAAGTCCACTCGTCTCTAAGTCCCACCCATGAAAACAGCTAACTTTTTGAGTGCCTTTTTCTTGAAGGAGACAGCCAGTCAAGGACCTGACGTTTGCGGTGAGGCTCCAATAAAGCAGAGCAGAGACTAATAAAGAAATTAAGAAGACATAAGCAGGGAACAGAAGAAAAACGATCACCAGTATCCTCAGATAAGAAACAACATTGCTTCAAGTAATAAAAAGATGATGCCATTTAAAAGGGGGGGAGCCTTTTACGAAGATGGCGCCAAAGGCTAAGAAGGAAGCCCCTGCCCCTCCCAAAGCCGAAGCCAAAGCAAAGGCTTTGAAGGCCAAGAAGGCGGTGTTGAAAGGCATCCACAGTCACAGAAAAAAGGAGATCCACACGTCACCTACATTCCGACAACCGAAGACACTGCATCTGCGGAGGCAGCCCAAATATCCTCGAAAGAGCGCCCCCAGGAGAAACAAGCTTGATCACTATGCCATCATCAAGTTCCCCTGACTACTGAGTCAGCCATGAAGAAAATAGAAGACAACAACACACTTGTGTTCCTTGTGGATGTCAAGGCCAATAAGCACCAGAACAAACAGGCTGTGAAGAAGCTCTATGACATTGACATGGCCAAGGTCAACACCTGATCAGGCCTGATGGAGAGAAGAAGGCATATGTTCGACTTGCTCCTGACTATGATGCTTTGGATGTTGCCAACAAAATTGGAATCACCTAAACTGAGTCCAGCTGGCTAAATCTAAATTTTTTCACCAAAAATAAATAAATAAATAAAATAAAAAAATAAAAGGGGGGGAGACTAGAAAATAAGAAAAAAACTGCTGAAAATTAAAAAAAAAATCAGAGTTGTAGTTAAAAATGCAACATAAGTTTTGGAAAATAGAGTAGTTATCTCTAAGCAAGTAGAATAAAAAATCAGAGAAGCAAAACAAGAAAGAAAGTATAAGAAAATCAAGGGGTCAATTCAAGAGGTTTAACACCAGAGTAGCAGGAAGAGAAGAGAAGAGATACGATGACAAAAGGAAGTCAACAAACAAGTAAGACAAGAAACATTTCCAAAAACTGAAGGACATGAAGCTCCACAGTAAAAAGCCTGAGTACTCTGCATGATAAATGGAAAAAAACTCACATCAAGACATGAATTCACAAAACACGTGAGCATCAGGGATAGAGAGATGGTCCGGATGTGAGAAGATGGTGGAACAATGCTTTTAATTTCTGAGGGGAAATGGTTCTCTACCCAGCATTCCACACCTAGTCACAGTATGAATCAAATGTAAGACCAGTAATACTGACATTCAAGGAGTCAAAAAAAGATGCTTTTCATCAACCCTTTCTTAGAAAGTTATATAAAAAGATGTGTTTCAGCAAGATAAGAGAATACTTAAAAAAAAAAAAAGTATGTGATTTTAAAAAATGAAATACAACATAGTCTGTCAGCAAAGAGCAATTTCAGGATGAAAGCTCTGGATAAGGCTTGGAGCAGAACCACCCAGATCACCGTAGGTGACTGCTAAGTTGTAGGAAAAAGGGTTCAAGGAAAAAAAGATACAGATAGCAGGTTTAAAAAAATACACTTGGGCTTTTGACAGAAAGACATGGCAGATTTATTGGAGCACTTGTAGACTTATGATACTATGAGCACAGAAAATAAAAAAAATCAGAACACAAGAAATTACTGACTCCAGGAAAAACAAAATGTCATAAGAAAAAAACTACTCTTGCTCAGCAGTGAACAAGATTTACTTACTCATAATAACATGAACACAGAAGACGGGGAAAATTTCTTTTGAAATGTGAAAGAGCTACTGAAAGGGTAAAGGGTAGGGATGGATATGGTAAGAGTTTAATCCTAAATGACCCTAACAGGAAGGAAATAAACCAGACCTAAAATTGATGGAGTGACAAACAGATGAATACAGATATTACTCCTGAAAATGAGGGATAAAATGTCAGAAGCAGCAGCTAAGGAAAGTTGCAAGTTCGTGCGTATGGGGAACGAAATGTGAGTGTGGGAACGGATGGGGAAGGACTGTATTACGTTCTCACTGTCCCCAAAACATAGATGAGAGTAAAAACATTCTGCTTGTTTTCCTTCAGCATGTGATGAAATATATGAACGTTTTAAAATTTTTAACAGTAATAACTCAAGGTCTGATATAGATCATGGCCCTTAAAGGCTGATCTTGTTTCCTGAAGAGTTGATTTTTTTCCCTGAAAAAGTTAAAATATTAAAATATTAAGCTACGCTAACGACTTAGTCTCTATATGCTTTTTCTCCTCCTTCCTGAAAAAGAAAGATAAGCATTCTTGCGACATCATCTCCCATATTATTAGAAAAACTCCTACTAATGAAAGCTTTTTGTAATTCTCAGAAGGCTCTGATGAATTCTGAAACTGAGTCATTGTTATCTGTTCATTGAGCTTCTGAGGACTTCATAAACACACAGGTAACTTGTTTAGTGGTTCACCTTTCGCTATGAAATTTACATCACCAATTGTGAAAAGATAACTGTCAACTACACACCTCATAGCCAGATCTTTTTTGGGTGTCAAACAACCAGATGTTGTATTGGAAAGTGAATTCACCCAGAAGCAAAAAGAGATCCTTGGATTGTAGTCCAAACTTTTCCTATTAGTTAAGTGAACTACCCACTTTAGAGTATTTGACTTCTCTGGGCCAAAATTTTCTCACATGTAAAATCAGAGTTAATCTAAAATTTTTTTTTTTTTTAAAGATTTTATTTATTTATTTGAGAGAGCGAGAATGAGAGAGAGAGAGAGAGAGCACATGAGAGGGGGAAGGTCAGAGGAAGAAGCAGACTCCCTGCTGAGCAGGGAGCCTGACGTGGGACGTGGGACGTGGGACTCGATCCCGGGACTCCAGGATCATGACCTGAGCTGAAGGCAGTTGCTTAACCAACTGAGCCACCCAGGCACCCTGAAATTTTTTTATTATGAAAGTAATTACTATGTATTCCTGAAACCAGATCATTAAAAAGAAAACCTAACCATTTATAATTCATTTATAATTATAAAAAATCATTTATAATCACTCATAATCTTAGCCCCCCAAGAGAAGCACTGTCATTATTTTGGTCAGTTTCTTTCCATAATATGCTTTTAAAAAACAATACCAGACATCATACAGAATAGTAAATCTGAGTTTTTTTCACTTGCCAATATTAAATACTTAACATCCTATAGATAGATAGTAATTTATTTTACCTATATCCTACTGTGGTTGTTCCCAATCTTAAATACTATAAACGGCACTGCTCTATTTTCCTTGTAGTCTTTATCTTTGCATATTCTCTTTGGTTAATTCCGTTAACATAAATTCCTAGGACTGAAATTCTCGAATTAAAGGGTTAGCAGCATTCAAGACTTTGATGCTTTCGCCAAACTGCTTTTTAGAAAGGCCGAGAGCCTTTATATTCCTACCAGCTATGTAAGAGAATAAACTTTTCATGCACCCAAACCAAAACACATTTTTTTTTTTCAATTCTGACCAATTTGATTTTTAAAAGTAATATTTTGTTTAGTTCTATACTTCTCTGATCACTAGCCTAGATTACTTAAAAAATATTTCTGGTCCTAAAATACTCTGATTGCCTTATGATTTACATTATCACACCAAAGACAATAAGAAAAGGCACTTGAAAAAGGTTAACAGGCTATTATTTATAAATTTCTAAAATATTGCATGATTATATAATCTTAAAAACAGTAAATAAACAGTAATATTTCTATTTTATACAAATAACCACATTATACATGTTTTTCAGGTTATTTTGTAACTTTTTATGTATGATCTCATTAGAGATAGCTGAATATGTGATTTATTTATTTTTTTAAAAAGAGCATAAATTTAGACTCCTAGAGCTTATTAGGATTGCGGTTTAGTTCTGCCACTGCCCAGAATTAGTAAGTTAATTCATTAACTCTTTATGCACCTCAGCTTCAGATAAAATAGTGGTAGTAACAGAAATCTCTTGCACTGTTATCACCACGAACGTCAAATAATGGAAGAACACTGTTACCCTGTAAAAACACCATGAAAATCTAACTTCTTGTTGTTTCCATAACTGTTACTATTCTGAAGAGAAATTCCAAACAGTCCTGTGAAGTAGTATCTTGCTCTGGTTTGAGACTGAAGTTAACACCGAAGCCAGAAACAGAAGAACTTCTAGCTCCTCGCCTGAAACTGAGGCTACACTTCACGTTATCAGCCTAGGACAGAACAAACTGAATCCACCTTCCTAACCGTTCGCTGACCGTGCAAAAGGTATAATCTGATCTTTATAAGATTATTTCTCTTTACTCATCCTATATTAAAAGGAGTACGTCTGTACTTTTCTTCTGAAAAGTCTACATCTGACACACCCCATCAAAAAACATCAACCTTCAAGTTTTCAAAAAAAGAGCATACTATTGGAGAAGGAGGTGTCATATTCAGAAGAAATCACTCTATTATTTATGACGGACTTTTAATATTTTGAGTGTGTGCTAGAAGAAAAAAGTAGATACAACATATTAAATGTCAGTCATAAATAAAGAGAACTTGCATCAATTAAAGGAAAACCTGGATAAATATTGACAAAGATGCACAGCCGCTTTATTTGCATATTCCTATAGTCTTACTAATTATAGGGCGTCACAAATTAAATATCTGCTAAGTTTCCATCCAAGATCTCTCGTAAAAAAGATAAAACAAAACCCCAACAGAGAACACTCACTTTTATTCGGTGATCATCCGTGTCTGCAACTGTTGCTACTCTAATAAACACAGGATTTCTTTTGTCTATGACTTCAAGCTTCATTTTTTTCTGGAATCCATGTGGAGGTTTCTGCCATACAGAAAATTTTACATGGTAAGATTCACAGGAAGAGAAGGTGGGCTCTGTGTCACAGCGACAGAATAAGATGAGCTATTTACAGAATCAACCTTCAAACTCGCAAGTTCCTCCAACAGCTTTGGACCTTACCCTCCCTATCAAAAAACACAATCCCAAATCACATGGCCAAACCCCGAGGCAATAGAAACAGCCAGAGCACCCAGCCACAGGAGCAGACAGAAAGCAAAAGATCTTAAGATAAAATGCAAAATGTTGCAGTTATTTGATTAGCCATAAGGGAGGCAAGACCTTTTTCTCATTAGTTAGAAGGAGGTGTCTTGGCAAAAACCAACAAGCATTAAAATAATTTATACAAAGAGGGGAAAGAACTTGAAAGTGGCAGAGAAGTGACACAAAGATTAGAAATGATCATGAGACCAAAAAGCAGATGTCTTTAAAAAAAAGAAAACTAGCCATCAAAACATGCAAGACCCCTTGTAAGAATCCCTCTTGTAAGAACAGGAATGAGTACGGAGGATCTTTGCTCCTATACTTTCTACCTATGCCTCAGTGCTCAGCAGAAACCTAGAAACCCCCCAAAAAGTGACAAGCTGTAGAAGACAAGGTGATTGTTATGTTAGGCAAATTGCTTAACTTCTCTGAACTTCACACCCCTGTTCTTTAAATTGGGTAGAACAGAACTGTGGCTCTGAAAATTAAGTGTGAAAATTATGTGAAGGATAAAAAACAATCAATGCAAGGCATCTGGAGACCAAACTAGAGAAATTATAGTTTTCTTTTCTGGTATCAACGTGACAGGAGACATGCAGACTGATCGTGATGTGATTTTATCCAGTTCAAAGCAAAGTACAATGCAGTTCTTCTTTGTAATAGCTTGAGTTAAAGTTAGAGAGTCAGGTAAAAATTCTTAAGTAGGGCATGACTCTATTCATTTTTAGATCCTAAATTTACTATCAGATACGTCCTTTAAATGGCTTTTCTTCATGTAATATACTTTTTTCTCTCAAAAATTTTTGATGTTCTTTTCTGTATGTGGGCCCATACGTCTAATTAATTCTATCATTAAAAACTCTAGCAATTTGTATATGAGAAAATCATTTAAAGAAAAGTGATGTCTATGATAGACTAATTAGGCTACTACATTAAAAATATTTTTAAAATATTTAATATATTTTTCTTTAAATTTACAGAAAAATAGAAATTATAAAGGAAGTTGTTAGAGATGAAAAAAATTTAAAATACATTTCATTACTTTAGAGATAAAATTTAAAATACATTTCATTGCTTATTCTTCCCTTGCAAAGAAATGAGGTTTACTTTGAATCTTACCAAGTTTTATGTAAGATGCAATGACTTCGGTTAGAAAGATACTATAAAAAAAGCAGGTGACCTTGTATTTTGATAATTAAACATGCTGATTTATAGCAATAAAATGAAAAACAGCATGAAAAACAGCATCTCAGCTTGCCATAAACAAATCTAAAGGAACCATTAAATACAATTTTCATTAGAAAATATCCTGTCTTGTTTTGGTTTTTCAGAATATCTAGCTGGAAAAACAGAAGTCTGCCATAAGAAAACAACTCATTCCGCACCAATTCAAGCAGAATTATTTTCCAAGGAGACAAGTCCAAAATGAAGTATCTTCTGGATGCAAACAATACAAAGTCAAAAACATCTTCTGTGGTCTTCTGTTTCCCTCCCCCCCCGTCCTATTCTGGTTCACTTGTAGTTCTCTTTCTGTTCTTGAATTTCAATGAATGAACACTATTGTCAACACAAATTAATCAAATAGTGTAAAACAGATTAACTCACCACTTTGAAAGCTCTTGCAGGAGCAGGTAAAGAATTGGTTTCTTCTAAGTATTTATCCCAAGAAAAATGTTTCACATTTGGATAACCTAAGAAAGAAAAAAGTAAATCCTGTCAGGTTTAACCAAAATGACAGTGAGAACCACAAACTGACCTGTAAAATTATGATATATTATTATATAACCTAGGAAATTATGTTCATATTCCACATAATAGCTTTAAACTAAATAACACACTCAGAACTAACTGTAATAATTACATTACTTTCATCTTGATCAAGACTCCTCTATTACCTTTTATTTTTTAAAATTTTTTTAAATTTTATTTTATTATGTAAGTCACAAACCTCTATTACCTTTTAAATGAAAATTTAACATATATGTATATGTGTAATTTATATTCTCAGGTAAGTCCTATATACAGATACACATAAGCCAAAAGTACCCTTTAATGTCCAATTCTAATTCTACTAATCAGGAAAATCTCATGTACATACAGACAATGCACAGATGTTTGTTAATGTAAAAATGTAAAAACAATTTTAATAACCATAATATAGAAAATGTGCAAATATAAATATATATATAGTATATATGGACTAGTACATATGGACTAGAAAGCATTTATTAAAAAGAATGAGGCAGATTTACATATATTAATATGTGACATATTCCAGATATACCATCATATTGTTAGGTCAAACAAGCAAAATCAAGTCATAGTATTTTTTTTTTAAGATTTTATTTATTTTATTTTTAGAGGGAGAGCATGAACGGGGAGAGAGGCAGTGGGGAGGGAGAGAGAAAGGGAGAGAACCTCAAGCAGATTCCATGCTGAGCTCAGAGCCTGAGGGGGTGCTCAATCTCAGGACCCTGAGATTATGACCTGAGCTGAAGCCAAGAATCAGATGCTCAACCGACTGAGCCACCCAAGTGCCCCAAGTCATGAAGAGTATTAATAAAATATGTGGAAATAACTATCCCTCCTTCCTCCTGCCTCCTTTTGTTTCCTCCAGAGCTCAAAATCCATGAGGCAGGCATGAGCAGGAATTAACAGTGGCTCAGTGGGGTGGGAAACTGGCTACATTAAGACGAAAAAATAGGTAAATAAACTGAGATAAAGGAAGGCAGGTTTCTTACTGACTGAAAAAAGAGGTATAAATAGAGAAAGTAGGAAACTAGAATAAACTTAGGGGTCTTGGATATGAATTGGAACTAATGATATAAATTCATTGTTTTCAGTATCTAAATATAGAAATATACATAAATATAATTTTTTTATATTTTACATGAATATATTTCCTAACTATATCCTCTGAGGGGACAGAAGTAGCATCATCCCAGTAGCAATGAGCATATCTACTGTTTAGATGTTAGTTTGAATCAAGGAAAGTACAAGATAAACCTAGCTGTGCCAGAGAGTAGGAGGTTCTCCAAAAATGATTAGAACATGTCGAAGGACATAGTAACCACCTTAAAGGGATTCCCACTGGCCAAATCTGAGAAAATCTGGACATGAAAGTAAATAATGCTGGTTACAGATTGTAACTCATTGATAAAAACAGTAATGTATGAGTCCATACAGAGATAAATAAATTAACTGAATGAATACATGGGAAGATGAGAAAGCTATTCTTTGCAGAAGAATTTCAACTAATTATGTACAAGGAATAAAAAAATTAGCATTTAGCAGCTGTCAGAATAACTCTTACTAGAAATATCAACAGATGTTAAAACTAGTGAGTGATGCAGGGATGAAGTACAGGATATTTACACAATCTCAAAGTATCTCTCCACAAAATACTGACTAATTACAGAGAGAAAAAAACTATGTTAGTGAAGAAGCCTGGCAAACACCATCTTTTTTTTTTTAAGATTTTAAAAATTTATTTATTTTAGAGAGGGAGAGCTCACATGCATGGACAAGCAGAGGGAGGGTCAGAAGGAGAGGGAGAGAGAATCCTCAAGTAGACTCTAAGCCAAGCATGGAGCCCAACGCAGGGCTCAATCCCAGGACCCTGAAATCGTGACCTGAGCCGAATCAAGAGTCAGACGCTTAACTGACTGAGCCACCCAGACGCCCCTGGCAAACACATCTTGATCAATTAATGGTAAAAGATCAGTAGTGAGACAAACTGACATCATGTGCAACCTGACAGGATGCAGTGAGAACACAGCACCGTTTCTGTGATGTTCCTGCCAAAATATATAACTCAGATCCAATCATGAGGAAATGCCAAGCGTATCCAAATTAAGTAGCATCCTACAAAATGACTAATCTGTGGGGTGCCTGGATGGCTCAGTCGGTTAAGTGTCTGACTTCGGCTCAGGTCATCACCTCAGGGTCCTGCAATGGAGCCCTACATTGGGCCCCACGCTCTGTGCGGAGTCTGCCTGTCCCTCTGCCCCTCCCCTGGCTCATGCACTCTCTCTCTCTCAAATAATTAAATCTTTAAAACAAAACAAAACAACAAAATGACTAATCTGTAATCCTCAAACATACTAAGGTCATGAAAGCCAAGGAAAGCCTAACTGAAGGAGAGTAGAGGGATGTAACAACCGAGTGCAATGTCTGAACCTTTTCGTACAAATGACATCATTGATATAACTGACGAACTTGAATCGGTCTCTGGGTCAAGGGTATTCTTGCAGCTTTTCCGTACCTTTGAAGTTATTTCAAAATAAAAGTTTAAGAGCAAGTATGCAAACATATTTCTATGACTACAAACATTTAACAACATATTTTTAAGGACCATATCTTGCACAATTTAAGTAATATTAAAGCTGACTGCACACACATGGAAGTTTGTGTATACAAAGAGGCAGAAAGATTTTTCTGGACAGATACAAGGATAAACTCTTAAACTACGGGAGAGAACAGCCATTACCTCTATTTTCATTCTCAAGTTTTCAGAACAAGCATGTATTAATGTACAACTGGATAATCCAAAATAAAATCATTTTAAAAGTCACAAAGACTGGGCGCCTGGGTGGCTCAGTCGGTTAAGCGACTGCCTTCGGCTCAGGTCATGATCCTGGAGTCCCGGGATCGAGTCCCGCATCGGGCTCCCTGCTCGGCGGGGAGCCTGCTTCGTCCTCTGACCCTACCCCCTCTCATGTGTTCTCTCTCTCTCATTCTCTCTCTCTCAAATAAATAAATAAAATCTTTAAAAAAAAAAAGAGTATATCGGTATTGATTCATGAGTTATGATAAATGAACCAGAAGGTAAGATTTTAATAATAGAGAAAATGGGTGTGGAATATGTGGAAACTCTGTAATCTGCCCCCAACTTTTCAGAAAATCTAAAAATATTCCAGGGCGCCTGGGTGGCTCAGTTAAGCATCTGCCTTCAGCTCAGGTCATAATCTCAGGGTCCTGGGATCGAATCCTGCGTCGGGCTCCCTGCTCAGCAGGGAGTCTGCTTCTCCCTCTGACCCTCCTCCCTCTCGTGCTCTCTGTCTCTCATTCTCTCTCACAAATAAATAAATAAAATCTTTAAAAAAATAAAAATAAAAAAATAAAAGTCACAAAGACTTTAATTTTGGAAAAAGAACAGTAGACATGCTACGTATTTTGAAAAAAAAACATGAACATGGGGTGTCTAGCAGGGCAGCTGAGGGGGCTGATGCAGGATGTAGCAAGGGTGGGAGAAGGGCAGCTGGGAGCCTCTTCAGACAGGAGTGAGCGGGATCATTCTCAGACAGGACATCAGTGATGCAGCCAGGAAACTTCCCTTAGAGAAAAGGGACTGGAAAGAGCAGCTTTGTTGTCATGGCGCTGAAGAGTGACATTAAGCACAGGCCCTGAAAACCATTATTTGACAGGTTGGGTTTTTTTAAACTTTTTTTGTATGTACGTGTGCTAAAATACATAGCACACAAAATTTATCATTTTATCCATTTTTAGGTGTACAATCAGTGGTGATAAGCATATTCACGTTGCTGTGTTTGGTACTTTTGAACAGGAAATTTGGGATTTTTTAAATGTGTCAAAAAGCGATGGCTTTTCTCTTCCACCGAATTATAAAAGTCCATGAAAGGAGACAGATGACTTGGTTATTTGCCTCCTATTAGAAGTCAACAAGGATGCCTTACACCAGCCCTTCCCACAGTACTTAAGCCAGCACTGTGAAGACATAACCAGGAACCTCCTCTTCACCGGTTCTCTGTTTATTTACCAGATCTCTGATTATGACCATAAAGGTGGGAAAGAAAAAAAAATGGGTCAATACTAAGTGGGGAAATCTAAGAGTCCTCACAGCAACTCAGACGGTAATAGTGGCACACAGGTAACTACACGATCAACAGTCACTGGCTCCTAATACTACGTAAGCCACAGGACACATGAGAGCTGTCCAGGAAAAGTCTTACAGGCAGCACCACATTTGAGCCACGAAACCGTTAATATCTTGTTTTAACACTTTATTGTTTATGCTAATGCTCTTTCATCTTCAAAACAGCTCTATAAATCCGTAAAGGACAGGGGCTTTTTGTCCCTAACACAGCAGAAAACTCAGAAAGCAGAAGGGACTCATGTCACCCATCACTGGGATAGTGTAAATGGTCCCCTGGGCAAGTAACTGACACTAAGATGCGGTACCGAGGAACTGGAGACAACCCCCCCCCCCATGCAATCAGCTCTTAGAATGGAATGAGACAAGTACTGGAAGCTCCAAGCTGAGTCTTTGCTGCTTCCATGCTGCTGGCAACAACCACAAATGAGCTCGAAGCAAACCAAGGAGCTATCCTTTGCCTGTGACAACGAAGCTGTCATCACTCACATAAGTACCCGTAAGTAACCACCTACAGCGCAGTGATGCTTTGTGTCAGCTGAGGACCCTGTCTTTTCACCCAGGTGGTAGCCGGGGCACCTTCACCAGGGATATGTCTGGGAACCTGCGGTCTTAATTATGCACTTGAAAATAAACTCAGTATGACGTACAGAGAGACTATTTATCAGCAGTTAGACTGTTCCCTCTCAAAGGGAGAGTGAGGAAGCTGAGAAGGGGCCACGGGGCCAGAAGCAGATAGCTGAAGGATCTGAACACTGCAGAGAACAGAGAAGAGGTGCTACCAGCAAAAAGGCTGGAACCAACAACCCAATAGAAAAAGGAAAAGTGAGTATGGGAGTTCTGATTCAGGTTACTAAAAAAAAAAAAAAGTCTAAAGCCTCAAGTTCTCACTTAAATGTGAACATTGTGCTTTTGTCAGAATTGACCCACATGTCGTCAAGGCTTCAACCACAAATGCTGTCCCCTATGTCCATTTCTCTATATTCGTTAAAGCTTTAAACAACGCACTTCTGTGGTTAGACAATATACTTAAATGTATATTAATGTAAGGTCTAGAAATGAATTTCAACTTGAGAAATAAAAGATCTTTTAAAAAAAGAACTTGGGGCACCTGGGTGGCTCAGTGGGTTAAGCATCTGCCTTCGGCTCAGGTCATGATCCCAGGCTCCTGGGATTGAGCCCCACAGGCTCCCTGCTCAGTGGGGAGTCTGCTTCTCCTCTCCCTGTACCTCTCCCCCCAGATCATGCATACTCTCTCTCTCTCAAATAAATAAAATCTTTAAAAAATTTTTTAAAAATTAAAAAAAAATAAAAAGAACTTATTTTCCAAAGAGGACAAACTTTGATACTCTGTTATGGACTAAACCAGTGAATATACTTTCAGGTGTCTCGGGGGTCAGCAAGCTACCACGTGTAGGCCAGCTGCCTGGTCTTTGCAAATAAAGTTTTACTCCAACAAACTATGTTCATTCGTTTTTGTATCATCTAGGGCTGCCTTTGTGCTAAAACTGAATTGAGCAGTTGTGACAGATGTTGTATGGACTACAAAACTAAAAATATGTACTATCTGGCCCTTTACAGAAAAAGTTTGCAGACTCCTGTTGTATATGAAGAATATTAGACACATAAGGGACACCTGGGTGGCTCAGTCAGTTAAGCGTCTACCTTCAGCTCAGGTCATGATCCCAGGGTGCTGGGATCGAGCCCCATGTCAGGCTTCCTGCTCAGTGGGGAGCCTGCTTCTCCCTCTACTGCTCTCCGTGCTTGGGCTCTCTCTCTCTGACAAATAGATAAAATCTTTAAAAAAAAATATTAGACACATAATAAACACAAACCTGGTGGAGTAATAAGTGTTCTTCTATGTTCTTTACACCAACCGACTGGATGAATGTGTGGACTTGATGCTTCACACCTGTAGTTATATAAATCACAAAATTGTAATTATCAGGATAAAGTCTCAAATAAAAGCAAATGTATATATAAATAATCATATACGCAAGGAAGCTAAAATTATGTCAGCATCTTGTAAGGGCAAATGTGCAAAAAGCTGGAAGCTCGATCACCCTCACAACACAAGCATGCTATTTCTATCATCTCTTACAATGGCAGAGGCCAGGTATTAGGACAGCGTAGTCCCTTCCTAGTCTCACCTCTTTCTTCTTCTCTCTGTCATCTTTACTTCAGTCAAGCACATATCTTCATAAGACCTCTTGAGCAGCACGCATTATGTGGCGTCTGATTCCTTGCTCCTGATCAAACTTGTTCTATGTATTCCTCATCTTAACATGCAACTCATTTCATTCATTCATTTGCTCACTCACTCATTTAAACCCTGAGCGCTTACAATGCACCAGACACTGGGATAGACACTGAGGATACAGGAACACAGAAAACATGTGCAAAGTTCCTGCTTCTGTGGGGTCTGCAGTATACTGGGAAGAGACAGGAAATAAATTAACAAAATATGTACTCTGGAGGCACAACACTATGGGGACAGGAAGTGGAAGAAAGAAGCAGAGAGCAAAAATGGAAAGGCACCCCTTTATACAACAGAGTTAAGGTGGCCTCCCAAATAAGGTGACACCTAAAGAAAGTGAAGAAAGAGAACTGAGCCACTCAAATGTGTAAGAAAAAGCCATTCCATGCAGAGGGAACAGCAAGTATAAAGGCTATGAGGTGGGAGTCTCACAGCTGGGTCAGGAATAGACTGAGGGAAGCAGAGAATACGGAATAGTATCAGGAAGGGTCTTTAGGCATGATAAGGTCTTGGGATTCTACTCAGAGTAAAATGATGTTTACTAGAATATCATGCAGGGGTTTTAGGCAGAAGAGTGGCATAATCTAATCTATGTTTTGAAGTAATTATTCTACCTGCTTTGCAGACAATTAACCACACTGGAAATGAGATGAGGCTCTTAGAAGGCTTTTGCCAGAGTTGATGATGGTGATCTGGACCAAACTGCTGTGGTAAAGATAATATGAAGTGATCATGTTTTTAGGTCTATACTTTAAAGGAAGAACCAACAGGATATGCTGGTAGATTTGATACAGAATGTGAGTGATGTGAAGAAGTCAAGAACATTCCAAGGTTTGGGGCATGGGCTGCAGGAAGAATTAGGACCTTAGATGGGAAGACCGCAGACAACAGTTTCTGGCACTGCAAACAGTGAAGAGCTTTGTTATCAACATACATCTGACAGACAGGGTGAGAAGTCAAAGAGATAATGAGCATAAAAATCTGGGGTTCAAAGACAAGATCAAGGGTAAAAACACACATGTGGGAGTCATCAGCATTTGGGATATTTAAAGTCATGAACAAAAATGAGGCCATCCAGAGAATGCATATAGAGAGAGAACAGAAGAGGTAGGAGGCAAAGAAGTCCAAGAAGAAATGTCTAGAAAATAAGAGAAGGAAAGAAAGAAGAAAGAAATCGATGCTGCTGCTGGATCAAAGAAGAAAAGAAACAAGAATTGATCACCAGTTTTACCAACGTAAAGGTCTTTAGCATTCTTGACAAGGGTGTTCTGGTGGAGTTGGGGATAAGAAAGGGCAGAAACCGGAATAGGGACTTTTTTTTTTTTTTTTAAGATTTATTTATTTATTTTAGGTGTAGGGGTGGGGAGAAGCAGAGGAAGAGAGAAACTCAAGCAGACTCTGAGCCGAGCATAGAGCCCAAGGCGGGACTCAATCCCATGACCCTGAGATCACAACCTGAGCAGAAACCAAGAGTCAGACACTCAACCGATTGCACCACCCAGGCGCCCCTGGAATGGGGTGGGTTTAACAGAAAAATGCAAGGACAGCAGATGGAGTCAACTAGTAGAGAAAACATGCTTAAGGAACTGTTTTAAAAGGAAACCGAGAGCAAAAGGAAACTTTCGTTTTTGTTTTCGTCGGGAAATACACAGGGGGAAGCTGGGTGAGGCATACATGGACATTCTCTGTACTACTTTTTTTTTTTTTTAAAGTAAACTCTATCTCCCAACGTGGGGCTCAAAGTCACAACTCTGAGATCAGGAGTCGCACTCTCTAATGACTGAGCCAGCCAGGTGCCCTCCTCGGTACTATTTTTTAAGTTTAGAATTGCTTTAAAATAAAACTCTTTATAAATGGGTAATATTACTTCATTTATTCAAGAAATACATGTCAAGCAACTACCATGATCGGGTAGTGTTCTAGGTGCTAGGTCTACGAGGGGTATCAAAAAACCCCCAAACCCCTTCTCCTATTTGGATACTGATAGGAATAATTTAACAGAGAGGGATGACCTACTGATGGAGAAGACAGAAACGACTCGGTGGGAGGGAACAGACTCTCAGGCATGAGAGCGGGCCCCCAAGGCAGGGGCAGGCACACCACGCAGGTGGGACTTGTGTCACAGACAGGGTTCGGTCTATGGGCAGAGACCAGGAATATACCCACCAGACAAGACGCACATCTCTGCTGACCGTCTTTTTTCTCACTAACCAGGAAACGAGGTTATCAGTTGAGAAGGAGAGTAGGGAAGGAAGTGAGAGAGGTTCGAGAGAAAAAATGGAGTGGAATTTAGTGGTCCAGAAGAACAGACAGAAGTCTGTTGAGCAGGACTATGGGGCAGGCCTGAAGGCCCACCTGAGATTAGCGGTCGTGAATGTGACGTCAGGCGAGTGAGCATGCTGCGCCTTTCTCTAGCTCCATTCAGCCACTCGGGCGCAGGCATAAAGTCAGCACAAAGTGAGCTCAACCAGGGTTGGGATTTTGCCAGGCAAACACAATACAAGGCAGTAGAGGCCACAGTTACAAGGAGTACTTATAGCAGGATTACAAAATAAATGTATAGGCATCTAGAGACACATCACAATTAAAATCTGTAAAAAAAATTTCCTATTGGTGTTCGCAAAGTTAAAGGGCCAAATGGTTGAGATATTTAATGCATCGCTAGCATATTAAAGACTGTGAAGTTATACTATAAAAAAACAGGTTTCAAATTATTTAACCTAGCATTCCCTAAAAATATCTAACTATAAAATACTGCTTCAGTGGGCAATCCATTAACATCACGGAGAACACTAGTGTTTTGCAGAACACAGTTTGGAAAATGTTGGTCTAAAGGATGCCAAGGAGCCCAGTCTTGCTCTATTAACCAGATCCGTTGAGCCTATGCTAAAAGATCAGGAAATCTCAACACAGCCATCTGGATGGAAAACTAAAAGAGAGAAAGCCAGAAAGGTAACACAGTGGCTAGAGTTTCTGGTGAATAAAAAAAGCTTATGACTACTGAAAAACAAAGAACTTTCTAAAAAAAAATGCTCTAAGTGAATGAGATCAACATAGAGTCACCTCTTTTCAAACCAACTTTCAAATTAGTAGCCCTGAACAGTAACAAGGTGAGTTGATATAGCCTCAATTTAATGTTGATTTTTCTCAGAATTATTTCAGTGAAAAATACCTTTAAATTTACAGTTAAAGGTTTCTTCCTTTCTCTTCCTTTATTCACTTGTTATCTCCTACCATCCTTCCCCACGCTATTATTTCTCTTAATCTATGTATTAGGGTTATGTGTATATGTGTATGTCATTATTTTAGAAATGTAAAAAGAAAACAAACACTGCTAGGTCAATGCTAAGTTCATACAACAATTGGTACATTTCTTACAATGATATATTTTCATAAAAGGTATTTTAATATACAATTCCTTAAAATACCTCCTGTTGTGGGAATGCAAATTGGTGTAGCTACTATGGAAAACAGTATGGAAGTTCTTCAAAAAATTAAAAGCAGAAATACCATATGATCCAGTAAATCACTATTGGGTATTTACTCAAAGAATACAAAAACACTAATTCAAAAGAATATATTCACCCTTATGTTTATCACAGCATTATTTACAATAGCCAAATTATGGAAGCAGCCCAAGTGTCCATCAATAGATGAATGGATGAAGATGTGGTAAATACATACAATGGAATATTATTCAGCCGTAAAGAATTAAATTTTGCCATTTGCAATAATATGGATATATCTAAAGAGTGTAATGCTAAGCAAAATAAGTAAGTCCGAGAAGGAAAAATACCATATGATTTCACTCATATGTGGCATTTAAGAAAAACAAACAAAGGGGGGGAAAAAAGAGGCAAACCAAAAAACAGACTCTTACAGAGCACAAACTTATGGTTACCAGAGGGGAGGTGGATGGGGGAGATGGGTGAAACAGGTGAAGGGGATTAGGGATACACTTATCTTGCTGAGCCCTGAGTAATGTGGGTAATGGCTGAATCACTATATTGTACCCTGAAACTAATATAACACTGTATGTTAACTATACTGGAAATGAAATGAAATAAAAGTATTCTGTTATAAATTGTATAAACAAGACTATAAAGCTCTATTTCCAGCTATTCTACTCTTTTCCAAGACAATCATCTGGTTATGGATTATTACTGATTATGTATTGCCTCTATTTCAGAGAAATTCTTATTTTATTTTAGAGAAAGGCATTAACTCACATAGGGCTCATTAAAAATAATAAAAAGAACACATACACAATAGTTGTCTACTTTTTTTCTTCCCAGTCTAATACAGCTTTCAAATAGTTTTTATAATTACCTGCCAGGCTCATGGCGATTAAAGTAAGAACAGTGACATTACTAATTCTTTTGATTTTATTGCATTTCTCTATAAACTGCAATTAAGGAAAATATCGTGGTGTATCTTGGCCACACATTCCTGTAAGACTCGAATCTTCTTTAAGTAAATGCTGCCTAAATATTGATCAAAGTCACCCTTTAAAATCAACAGGAAGCCATCTAGTAGAGAAAACAGAAAGAGCTCTGTTTCCATCTATTGTACCCATACTCTGCCCATCAGCCAACAACACTTTATTGAGAATGAAGTTGGAAGATTGTGAAATCTTTTCTGCTACTACTGTAAAA